ATCACAACTTAAAAAAAAAAAATCGAGACAGGATCTTGCCCTGTCCACCTGGCTGGAGAGCAGTGGTGTCAGCCTACCTCACAACAACCCCAAACTCCTGGGCTTAGGTGGTCCACCTGAGTAGCCAGAACTATAGGCGCGTGTCACCATGCTTGGCTAATGTAAAAAAAATTTTTATGTAGAGACAGCATCTCACTATGTTGCCCAGGCTAATCTTAGACTCCTGGCCTCAAGTGATCTTCTGTCTCGGCCTCCTGAAGTGCTGGGATTACAGGCATGAGCCACTGCACCCAGCACAACTTTTAAAAATAGAAATTGTAGGCTTGGAGCCCATAGCACAGTGGTTATAGCACCAGCCACATACACTGAGGGTGGCAGGTTCAAACCCGGCCTGGGCAAGCTGAACAATGACAACTGCAACAAAAATAGCCGGGCACTGAGGTGGCACCTTTAGTCCCAGCTACCTGGGTGGCTTAGGCAGGAGAATTGCTTAAGCTGAAGAGTTTGAGGTTGCTGTGACCTGTGGTGCCATGGCATTCTACCCAGGGTAACAGCTTGAGACTCTGTCTCAAAAAAAAAAAAAAAAATACAAATTGTAGGCTCGGTGCCCATATAGCTCAGTAGTTCGGTGCCGGCCACATCCACCAGGGCTAGTGGGTTTGAACCCGGCCCGAGCTTGCTAACTAACAATAACAACAACAAAGAAAGATAGCCAGGTGTTGTGGTGGGCTCTTGTAATCCCAGCTACTTGGGAGGCTGTGGCAAGAGAATCGCATAACCCCGTGAGTTAGAGGTTGCTGTGGGCTGTGACACTATAGCACTCTACCAAGGGTGACATAGTAAAACTCTGTCTCAAAAAAAAAAAAAAAGAAAGAAATTGTAACATGCTATGCTATTTAAGAAAAACTAGTTTTTAAGTTTCCCCAGTTGACACAAGTACTTTTAGTTATTTAGTTAGATGGTACAGATTTGTACCTTCTAATAAGTGAGGTTAGGTGGGGACACCCGTTGATCTGAAACGTGGAGGCTTACACAGGGATGGTTGGACTTACTCTTGAGACAAACTTGTCTCAGTTCTTTCATGTAAAGGGAGCCACCTGGCAGCAGCAGGGTTCTGCCGTCGCTCCCTAAGCTTCTGCCACACTAGCCGTGTTGTTCTTGCAGGTGGTGAATGTTACTGGGATTGCAGTTGGTACCGGCTTAGCCTCGGCTTGTGACACGCTCATGTCTCAGGTGAGGATCAACCCACCCCTGAACCTCTTTTGGCAGTTAAAGAGGCCATCTAGGGAACTGTCTGCCCTCTGGGTTTTGTTGCTGTGTCTGTGCCAAATACAGATGGTCCCCACAGAGATTTGTCGACTTGCCAAAGGTACAAAAGCAGAGTGTATTGGGTAGAAACTGTACTTCAAGGCCTCATACAGCCGTTCTGTTTTTCACTTCCAGTCTGTATTTAATAAATTACAGTGAAGTGTGCACCACTTTCTTACAAAATAGAGATTGTGTCAGTTGTAGGCTAATGCGAATGTTCTGCATGGGTTTAAGATAGGCCAAGCTAAGCTATGGTGTTTGGTAGTTTAGGTGTATTAAATGCCTTTTGACTCAGGGTTTTTCCAACTTAGAATCAGGAGGTAGTCCCAGTTGTCAATCTGGAAACATTTTTCTTTTCTAATTTCTATTTTTTTTAAGAGGTCGGGTCTCGCTATGTTGCCCAGGCTGGACTCGAGGTCCTGGGCTTATGTGATCCTCCCTCCTTAGCCTCCCAAGTAGCTGGGAGTGCTGTGTGCACTGCTGTGCACGCTGCTAATGACTGTGAATACAGCAGACTTAGCTTTCTTTACTGGTTCTGTCTTGGGGTCACATGAGATGATTTTCTTGTTTCTCCTGGCTGCTCTCACCCACGAAGTGCCCTATAGGCTAATGAGCCCTAAAGCCGTCTTCCCTTATCCACCACTCCTTCCTCCTCCTCCCTCCCCTCCCCACTTTAAGCCCAGCTTCTTGGAAGTGTTCTCTGCACTCCGGGCCTGACCCTTACTCTCGACTCAGCCCCCACGGAAGCCTTGTCCATTCCCACCCGTCCCACTGGGGCTGGTGTCTTCTGGGCCTTTCGTGGTGAAATCCTCAGGTGAGCACTTGATTGTCCCCACTTCCCAAAACACTCCCGCGGCCTCCAGCAAAGGTGGACCCTCCAGACGTGTCCTGCCTCCCTGGCTGCCCTCGTCAGTCTGCTGTGTGGGCTTCTCCCTCTGCCCCTTGGCCTTGGAGCCCCACCCATCCTGCATCACTGCATGTCTGCTCCCGTGGCTTGCGCCCTTCCCTGCCCTGTGCTGAAGACTCTTCTGAGCTTCAGTGTCTGCTGCCAGTACTCTCCATGTCAACAGTCCCAGTCCTGGGAGCAGGAGCATCCTAGGACTTGTGTCCAATGGCTGGCTGCCCTGGCTCAAAGGCTCCCCACTCAGAAGCTCCCCTCATGCCATCAGCTGTGGCGGGGGCAGCAGGTGACAGGGGGTGGACAGTGGGGGACTGGGCTGCAGGGACAGGGGATGTGGCACCCCCAGAGGGGTGCAGCACGTGGCCTGCCTGGTATGCTGCTGTTTATTCTGTTTTCTCAAGTCCTTTGGTGCCAAGAACCTAAAGCGCGTGGGAATCATACTTCAGAGAGGAATCTTGATCTTGGCACTGTGCTGCTTCCCGTGCTGGGCTATCTTCGTCAACACCGAGCGCATCCTCCTGCTCCTGAGGCAGGACCCGGAAGTCTCCAGGTCAGGTCTCCATTTTCGAATCCTGGGTTACCAGTAAGAGGCATTTGGTCATTGTACGTGGAGATTTTCAGCTGATAGATCTGGTCTGAACCCTTTCAAAAAGGAAAGCTGTGACTGGGCCCCAGAGCCTTGGGCTATGAGAGTACCAGACCAGATAGACTGGACACAGCACCAGGGAGTCCTGCACCCTTTCACGTGGTCCCTCCACTTTGGTGTCCTGCCTTCACTGTGCTCTCTGGGACATGTTCCTTAGGTTATGTGGTCCTTTCTTAGAAGATAGCCTTGCTCATTAGTGACATTGAAGGCCCTGACATTCAAAAGGTTTCTGAATTTTGCCCAATTTGTAGTTCATTTTGCTGTGTTTGTTCCACCTTTTTTTTTTTTTTTTTTTTTGAGTCGGAGCCATCCTGGCTAGAGTCTCATGGCCTCAGTTTAGCCCACAGCAACCTCAAACTCCTGGGCTCAGGCGATCCTCCTGCCTCAGCCTCTTGAGTAGCTGGGACTACAGGTGCCCGCCACAACACCTGGCTAATTTTTCTACTTTTTGTAGAGATGGAGTCTCACTTTTTTACTCAGGCAGTCGTCCCACATCAGCCTCCCAGAGTGCTGGGATTACAGGTGTAAGCCACTGCACCTGGCCTCTGGCCTACCTTTTATGCTAAGAATGAGCTAAAAAATTTAAAGTGGGCAGGTTTTCCCTCAGAAAGTAGATGTTTAGCAGGCTTAATGTCATGTTGATGTAGGTTGTAGAAAAACACTTAAAATTGTTCTTAGATCTCTCCCATATAAATTACTATTACTATTTTTTTGAGATAGAGTTTTACTTTGTCACTCTTGGTAGTGTGGTGGCATCATAGCTCACAGCAACCTCCTCAAACTTTTGGGCTTGAACAATTCTCTTGCCTCAGCCTCAGCTATTTTTAGAGATGGGGTCTCACTCTTGCTCAGGCTGGTCTTGAGCTTGAACTCCTGAGCTCAAGCAATCTACCCACTTCAGCCTCCCAGAAGCTAGGATTACAGGCCTGAGCCACCACGTCCAGCCCCATATTAAATTATTTTAATTTTAGGGTTTTTTTTAGTGCATACATAGGATTAATATTTAGTTCTAATTTTTAGAAAATACTGAGTGGGTTCAATTTGAAGACATTGTGACCAGTGTTTTAATGTTGACTGAAGACTCTTTTGTTGTTTATTTCAGGATAGCCCAAGTTTACGTGATGATTTTTATTCCTGCCCTCCCCGTAAGTCTTGCTGCTGTCCTGTGTGTTATGTGAAGCAGCTCTGAGTGTTGCACTGTTCGTGCCTCTGACCTGCCTTTTGTTTTCTTTTTGTCATAGTGCTGTTCTTGCGGGAGCCCAGCATACATTTTTGGGACTGTCGTCCCCATTTACTGATTCCCAGACACTGATGAGGGGAGGAAATGTCCCTCCTGAGGTCTGATTCTGCAGTTACCTCTGAGTGCAGAGTAGTCAGGGTGTTTCCCAGAATCATGTAGGACTGGGGGAGGTGCTGCCAGCAGGCCACCCTCAAAGCCATAGGAATGTCAAGGTCGGGGCACCTGCTCCAGCCAGTTAGAGTTGGCTGTGTTATTTCTTTAGGAAGTAAGTCTGTCATCTACTCTGGAGAGATCCACACAGCATCTTGGCATTGTTTAGTGTGGATCTGGTTCTCTGAATTTGAGGTCACACATCAAAAGACAGTATCTTATTAAAAATAAGAACTGACCTAGAATTGAAAACAATGTAACCTAAATATTGTACCCTCATATTAATTTAAATAAAGTTTAGAAAAAAACCAAACCAGAACAGAAATGAACTGTTGGAATGATATTTTTATATTAATGAGAAATAAACTGTGAGACTTATATTTTTATATTAATGAGAAATTTTATATGTTTTTCTATTTAATTGTATAGGCAGCATTCGTGTTCCAGCTGCAGACAAGATATTTACAAAGCCAGGTATAGATTCTTTTTATATTTTTACTCCATAATTAGAAACGTACATTAAATATTCTCAGGGAATGTTCTGTACAAGTAATTCGCATATTTCTTCCCCCTGCAATTCTGCCTCAGAATTCTTTGCCTGGGAGATGGGGGGCCTTAGTAGTGGATTTTGTCCTGCCCGGGAGAGATGCCTGTGCCAGTCCAGTCTGTCCTGTTCTTCTCGGTCACCCCCATTCCTCTCTGCAGCCCCCAAACCACCCCTCACCTCTTCTGGGTGTGGTGCTGCAGATAGGGCCTGGGGCCTAGCTCCCATGTGCCTGTTTTGGAGGAGGGGGCCCAGAGATACAGCAGCCAAATTTCTGGAGGTGCACAGGGCCCAGAAAGCCCTCAGGCCATCTGAGGCAAAGGGCCCCTGCTGGTGGGCAGTGGGAAGAGGCTGAATGCACCACCCGGTGTGTCCTCTGAGTCCATTCAAGGCAAGCAGCCACCTGGAAAATGAAGGCATTGTCTATTGAAACCAGAGAGGGACCCATTCTGTTTTGATAGTCTCTGTTTCAAAGCAGAGGAAGAAAAAGAAATTGACTCAGATAAATGTTCCTGAATACTGGCATGGGTGTGCAGCACAAACAAAGGAAATAATAACTGGCACCTAAAGCAAAGGGCTCACCATGTTCTGCACAAAGCGGACATTGCTGGGCGTCTTGACCATAAGGACCTGACCCGCATCGCAGCCCAGCAGAGAACCGAAGCAGCGTGGCCCGAGTTTCCCCAGGCCGTCTTTCCTTCACGCCTCCTGTTTGTCCTTCATGAAATTATTCCCTCTCTTTTTTTCTCTCTGCTGCCATCTGGAAACTATGGTCAAGCAAGTGGTTCAGAAGCGGCTGCAGCTTCGGTTGGCTTGGCGAGAAGCTGTCCCAGTGGGAGCTGCTTCACTCCTGCTGTCCCTGTCTTGTGTAACTTTGCCAGCATTTAAAATTGTCTGTTCATGACAGTGTAGCTTGACAGCCTAGCTAATTAGCTTTTGGAAATGCTAATTTTTCCTATTTTTTCGTGATTTTAGGGCATCATCATGCCTCAGGTTCTCACTGGGATTGCTGCAAACATCATCAATGTGGGCATGAATGCCCTGTTGCTGTATGCTCTGGACCTGGGAGTGGTGTAAGTCACAAACGCGGTGTTCACAGCATGCTGGGGTGTCCCAGGGGCTGGCAGGAGCCTGGAGAGAGGAGGGGACAGGGGTTTGAGGGGGCCACAGGGAGAGAGAGAGGGACGGGATCTGCAGAGAAGCACCCGACTGGAGTCAGCCTGAGAAGGGAATTGCTGTGGTCCATGAAGGCTGAAGTGGGCCACCCGGGCAAAGGCAGAGGGGGCATTTGCCTGTGGTGTTCTCCCAGGTCTGAGCTATGAGAGATTGAACTGAATTCCATCCTCATGACACCTGAGGAGACGAGGGTCCCACAGAGGAAGCTCATCTGCCTGGAGTCCCTCAGTGGGTGTCATTTGGTCCAGCCCTTGTGCAAATGTGTTTCTGAGCAAGCTTCCTCACGGGTGGCTAGGAAGTGAGCAGGTGTAGACTGAGCTCCAGAGATTTTTAGATGCTTAGGGCAATGTGTTTCCTCCTAACTGGACATCTGTTTCCTGGCTCTTGAGCACTTAAAAAACAGGGAAATATAGGGCAGTGCCTGTGGCTCAAAGGATTAGGGCACTGGACCCATATACTGGAGGTGGCGGGTTCAACCCCGGCACCGGCCAAAAACTGAAAAAAAAAAAAAGAGGAAATATATTATGAATGAAATAGAATAGAAAATACAAGATGTATTAACTATTGTGGGGGTACTTTTCATGAGGCTTTGTTTCAGGTATGTATGGGGGTATGTATGCTCCTGTTGGTAATGTAGTCCTGGGTGGTCCAGGGAAATTCATTTACTACTGTTTAAAGCTGAGGGTTGGGTCATAAGAAAACACCAATGAAAACCTACCTTACTTCTGCTAGGGAAGTGCAAGGAGGCCTTGGCTGGGGGTTGTAGGAGATGGAGCCACTTAAATCCCCGAGGGGTAGCCAGGTTCTCCTGGAAGCTGTACACGGGACGGTCCCTCAGAAGTTCCCCCAGCAGACGCACACAGGACAGTTTAGGGGTGGGAGGTAGAGAAGAAGAAAATATAGGAATTAACATGATAAAATAGAAGAAAACATAGGACAAACAAATCATAAAATGTAAGGATTAGACAGGGAAATGAAATGAAAACAGAAAAGAAAGTGGAGTTCCCGGCTCTCTCTGAGAATGAAGCATCATTTTATTCGTCACGATAAAGTGTGACCTACAGAAAATGGTCTAGGGTTATTTTCTAATAGAAAACAAATTTATCACAACTACTGAGACCGAGATCAGTATTTTGAACACAGTAGTTGTTTCATGATATCCCTTTTAACTATGTTTGAGGAGTTATTGATGGATTATTTAGGGTTGTCAGGAAAAGGAATGGTCATAAATCTTTGTAAGTCTTTTTCTTTTTCCATTGCTGAATATTTGACAAAATTCAATGTTGGTGGAAAATATCTATAATAAATAGGTTCAGTGTTTAAAATATTAAGAAGATTTTTTTTTTTTTTGAGACAGAGTCTCACTTTGTCACCCTCAGTAGAGTGCCACAGTGTCACAGCTGACAGCAACCTCCAATTCCTGGGCTTAGGAGATTCTCTTGCCTCAGCCTTCCAAGTAGCTGGGACTATAGGTGCCTGCCACAATGCCCGCCTATTTTTTGTTGCAGTATATGGGGCTGATGCCCTACCCACTGAGCCACAGGTGCCGCCCAAAATAAGAATATTATGAAGACACTTGTACTAGACTGTTTATCACAGCTCAATTTACAATCGCCAAAATGTGGAAACAGCCTGGATGCTCCTTAACCCAGGAATGGATTGGCATTCCTGGGTTAAGGAGCTGTGTTATATGTATACCATGGAATACTATTCAGCCATTTAAAAAATGGAGATTTTGCAGCATTTGTATTAATCTGGATGGAGGTGGAACATACTATTCTTAGTGAAGCGTCACAGGAATGGAGAAGCATGAATCCTGTGTATTCAACTTTGATATGAGGACAATTAATGACACGTAGGGGTGGAGGAAGGGGAGAGCAGACAGAGAGGAGGAGGGGAGTGTGGGGGAAAGGAAAAGAAAAAAAAGTAAATAGTGACTAATTCTCACGAGTTGGATTTAATTTTGACCAAAGTACATTATTCGAACAGTAATTTTTAATTCAACGTGTTAACATGTTGTTTAGGATATTTGCGCCCTCATTTATAAGTGAAATATGTTTGTAATTTCCCTTTATAATAATATATATTTTTGAATTTTAGTGTCAGGTATATCTAAATGAAGTAGAATGAATTTGAAGTATTTCTTCTTTTTTATTGTCTATAAGATTTGGCATTATCTGTTTTTTTTTTTAAATTACCTTCTATTTTTATTTATAAATATTAGTTGTCTATTTTTTGAGACTTTGGGAAAAAAACAAGAGAACAAAATAAGTATTCCCAGAAACAATTCTCCTCACTATTTAGAGGCCTTTTGGGGGGTTTGTTTCTTCTCTCTTTCTATCAAAGTTTCCATAATTCCAGTAGCTGGCATTTCAGGTGGTTTCTTTGTTTTCTTGCTAGAATTTTACCTTTTCATAATTTTAAATTCAGTTATATCTGGGATTGAGGCAGAACTTTGCTATAAATCATGAATTACATATTGTTCTTTGTGATCATCTGTAGTCAATGCTATGATGTGCTTCCCAGATTCTCACAAATCCCCCAACCCTTTAGAGACTGAAGCCCCCCTTCCCTCAGCTACTGGGACTATTGGTAGTTGGCTGCTCTCTGCTGAGTTCATCTCTGGAAACTGCCCCTGGCTAAAGAGTCATCTCATTCAAGGTTTATGTTTGTGGGGTGCAGATATCCAAAGACTGGCCATTGCCTCAATTCAGACATCTTTGAGGGGCTTTCCCAACTTCAGAGGTTCAAGGGATTAACTGAGACACATGCTGGGACTCCGACAGAGTTCAATTTCTTGCTCTGTCTGTCCTGCTTCATCCTTTCACTCTCCCTGGTCCTCATCTAGGCAGCACTGCCCAGTAAATACACTTCCTGCTTGTACATTTCTATCACAGAGTCTGCTTCCCAGGAAACCCACACTGCATTGTTACCACTGTATGCTATTTAATGTATATAATATTTTGCATGGAAAATATATTTCATTATCCTTGTGCTTGAACATAGAAATTAACTCATATAAAAAAAGATAAAAAACCTAAAAATAAAATAAAATATTAAAAGAAGACCTTCCAAGATCCACGGCTCATTTAATAGCTGTGGTTCTTACCCCAGAGCAAGAGCTTGTCAAGGGTGGCCTGTGTATTTTTCTTTGGAAGGAATAAACTCATGAGTAATGATTTCTTTTCTCCTTCAGAGGATCCGCCTGGGCCAACACCACTTCTCAGTTTCTCCTATCTGCTCTGCTGTTCGTCTACATGTGGTGGAAAAAAATGCACGTCAAGACGTGGGGAGGTTAGGAGGCATTACTTCCTTCGTTATGTGATTTGATATTCGGAAAGTTGTAATTCTGGTTCCTGGATTTCTTTTTTTCCCAAAGCAATTTTTGTTTTTATGTTTTGGGAGATCTAAAAATTATTAAAAAATGTTTAAATTACTGAAAATAGGCACGGCACCCATAGCACAGTGGTTATGGAGCCAGCCACGGGTTCGTACTCGGCCTGGACCAGCTAAACAACAGTGACAACTGCAACAAAAAAATAGCTGGGTGTTGTGGTGGGTGCCTGTGGTCCCAGCTACTCAGGAGGCTGAGGCAAGAGAATTGCTTAAGCCCGAGAGTTTGAGGTTGCTGTGAGCTATGATGCCACAGCACTCTGTACCCTGGGTAGAGAGTTGTGGCATCATAGCTCACAGCAACCTCAGACTCCTGGACTCAAGCCATCCTCCTGCCTCTGCCTCCTGAGGAGCTTGGACTATAGAGGTACCCACCACAACACCCAGCTAATTTTTATATTTTTAGTAGTGACAGGATCTCACTCTTGCTCGAACTGGTCTTGAACTCCTGTGCTCAAGCAATCACCCGTCTCAGCCTCCCACAGTACTGGGATTACAGGTGTGAGCCACTCCACATGGCCATGGCCTGTGTTTTTAGATCGTCTACATTGCCATGTACATCCATTATTTAGCTTTTAACCATCCTATGCATTTGTCAGATTCTACTTCTCATGCTTCCTAGTGAAGGTACCCTGGATTACCCTGCTTCTTTTTTATGGAGCTCTATAAACCTTTTTAAAACTGTTTTTACCCAAGAATAGAATTTTTTTGCAGTTTTTGGCCAGGGCTGGCTGGGTTTGAACCCGCCACCTCCAGCATATGGGGCCAGTGCCCTACTCCCTGGAGCCACAGGCGCTGCCCTTGACACCTTTTAAAAAACGTATTGTAGAGATTTATTATTTATTGTCTTGACTGTGTTGCCCAGGCTGGTCTTGAACACCTAGGCGCAAGCAATCCTCCCATGTCTTCCCCATCAAGTTCTGGGATTATAGGCATGAGCCACCATGCCTGGCTCTCTTTGACATGTTAATAATGTATTTTGCTGGAAAACTGAGGTTACACGTAGTCTTTGGCCATTTGGATGATGCAAATACGTGAAGTTGAATTTTGGGAGTCAGAGACTGTTGAAAACAAGTGCCTGCCTTCTCATTTTTCTAGGTTGGACTAGGGAGTGCTTCCAGGAGTGGGACTCCTTTATCCGTCTGGCTGTTCCCAGCATGTTCATGGTGTGCATTGAGTGGTGGACCTTTGAGATTGGGACCTTCCTTGCAGGTTTGTCTGCAGCAGGCGTCGCCCAGGGCCTGGCTGGTCACGGCTCCAGACCTCCCCGTTTATCAGGCTCTCTAGAGCAGCGGTCCTCAAACTTTTTAAACAGGGGGCCAGTTCACTGTCCCTCAGACCGTTGGAGGGCCGGACCATGGGCCCCAGGACGAGTCAGCTGCTAAGCAGGACAGGCATCGGCAGCAAAAACACCCAGCGGGCCAGATCATTGTCCTTGGCGGGCTGCAGTTTGAGGATGCCTGCTCTAGAGCAATGATTTTTAATCTGTGTGCTGGGGCATACTGGTATGCCTTGAAAATTTTTGAAGATAATTAATTAAGTTATCTTCAAAAGAAGAGCCCCGGAGGCCCTCAGGGCATTCTCAGAGCAGCCTGTGCCTCAGTTGACTTTACCAGGCTCCAAACCAAGTTTCTGGACTTTGTTTGCAAAGGGCCTGATTGGGCCTATTTCAGCCATGACGTGTGTTTCTTTAGGAACTAATAATCTGGTCATAGTTGTTCACCTCCACCATCCTGTTGCTATGAAGTAAGAGCAAACAGCTGAGATAGAGGAGGGGAATGAATGGCTGGGCTGGGGTGTTTGCGTCCCCTCCCACCTTGTGACCGCTGTCTCCCTGAGGAGTGGCAGCACCACCAGGAGCCTGACTGTTTTGACTTTGAACCTGACATCTGTCCCCTGGTAGAGTCAGTACTTGCAGATGGGCTTATGCTACCTCTGGGCTGCCGGAGACCTAGGTAACTCCAGGGGGAAAGATGTCTGGGGTTCTCCTGAGCGCACAGGTGGCGAATGTCCCATCAGGCTGTGCCTCTGGGGAGCATTCTTCTCTTATATTGGAATAAGTTCTAGTTTTAGGAAGAAATGGTTTGCTCTAATACACCTTTTGAAATTGAAATGTTTCCTGTGTCTGTTTGCGCATTTCAGGACTCATTGATGTGACAGAGCTGGGAACCCAGGGCATCATCTATGAGCTGGCGTCTGTGGCGTACCTGGTAAGAATATGGGGAGAGACCTGGCTGTCACTCTGCTGGGCCACTGTCACTGCATTTGCTCAGCAGATGGACCCCGGGGAAGAGGGAGGATCATAGCTTAGTGGGAGAGGGCAGATTGGGGCCCGGATGCATAAGGCTGAGTCCTGGCCATGCTGCTCCCCATCTGTGAAACACAGGCTTGTTACTTAACCTTGCCAAACTCCAGTTTCCTCATATAGAAGATGGGGTGAAAATACCCACTATCCAGGTGAAGATTGAGTGAGAACGCATTAAAAAAAAGTCCTCAGCACAATACCTGGCATGTTCATTCCACCATTGTGGAGTTGGTGCAAGGATGCAGTGGTGTGTGAGATGGGGACAGCTTCTGCTCTTTGTGACCCTGGAGGGAGACAGAGAGAAACAGAAGAGATCATACGAGATAAGTACCAGAGAAGAGCAAACAAGGATCTGGGATGGGTCAAAGCAGAGATGGATGCCTTTTAATCATTTGTTCATTTTGAAATGGGGATCTTGCTGTATTGCCCAGGCGGTCTTAACTCCTGGCCTCATGTGATCCTCCCACCTCAGCCTCCCAAGTAGCTGTGGTTATGGGTAGGAGCCACTGCGCCCTAGATAGGGCAGTCAGGACCGTCTTTCTGTGTTGCTATTTAAGCTGAGACTTGAAGGGTGAAAGGAGCTGATGGCGTAGAGCTGGGGCCAAGGCTCCACGACGGGACAGCACCTGGTGCAGCGGAGGTGAGGGGCCAGTGAGGAGGAGGAGAAGGGGAACTGGGAGGTTGGAGGCAGCTGGCAGGGCAGTGGGCTGGGAAGGGTGCAGGTACGGGTGGGAGCAGGGAGGGCGGACAGAGGCAGTGGGAATGGCCCTGGTGAGCAGTGAGGAGGCTGCTGGTGCGGGAGGAGAAAGGGAGGAAGCAGTTGCAGGTAGAGGCTGAACGGACAGCCCCGGGCGGGGTTTGGCTGTGGAATGTGAGGCAGTAAAGGGGTCCCAGAGACTCCAGATTCTGGGTGAGCCCCGTGTGGGGGTGATGCTTGTCAAGCTTTTGATGGGGATGTTCCTTTTCTTTTGTTTGTTGCTTGTTTTTCTTTATTGTTTCAGGTTAATTTGAGAATACAAAGAATTAGATTACAATGTTTGCATTTATTAGGTAAAGTTCCCCTTATAATTGTGTCCCACCCCGAAGAGGTGTGCCAGATACCCTCAGATCATGCTCTTTAAGCACCCCCATCCCCCTCCTTCCTCCCCTTTCCCTGCTCCCCACCTTGAATTGATTGAGTTTTTCCCTTATGTGAGCATCTGTTAGCTCCTCTGCGTCTTAATTTTAGTGTTAAGTACATTGGATTCTTGCTTCTCCATTCTTGGGCTTTTTTGGAAGATCACAGAGGCCATCTGAGCAGTGAAGTGATAGGCCACTTTTGGTTTCCACGTATTGATTTTAGAGATATATATATATGTATTTTTGTTGTTGTTGTTGTTGTTATTTTTATTTTCCTTAGAGATAGGTTCTACCCTCTATTGCCCAGGCTAGACTTAAACTCCTGGTCTCAAACGATCCTCCTGTCTCTGCCTCCTGAGTACCTGGAACTATAGATGCCCACTTATTTTTTTTTTGAGATAGAGTTTCACTCGGTCGCCCTGGGTAGGGTGTGGTGGCATCAGCCTACCTCACAGCAACCTCAAACTCCTAGGGTCAAGCAAGCCTGCTTCCTCAGCCTCCCTAGTATCTGGGACTACTGGCATGTGACACCGCACCTGGCGAGTTTTTCTATTTTTAGTAAAGATGAGGCTCTTGCTCTGGCTCAGGCTGGTCTTGAATTCCTGAACTCAAGCAATCCATCCACCTTGGCCTCCCAGAGTGCTAGGATTACGGGCATGAGCCTCTGCACCCAGCCCACTTTAATCTTAAAAAATGAAAAAAAGTTTTAATGAGATTGATGTGATCACCTAGAAATAAAAAGAATGAGTGCCTGGGAGCAGGCCCCACCTGTGAAGAGGCCAAGAGTAGAAGCAAACCCAGCCAGAAGAACACACCAGTGTGGAAGGAAGAAATCCAGAGAATGTGTGGAGGAGGAAGCCGGCGGGAAGGAAGGGTATTTCCGAGGGAGGGGGGCCTGGGCCCAGGGCAACAGGGAGGTGGTGTAAGATAAGGTTGGATTTAAGACCTCATGGAGTGACAGGGAGAGGGTCTCGGGTCTCGGGTCTCGGGTCTTGGGGGGCCAGAGCCCAGAGACTGACTTGCGGGGCTGCTGCAGCAAAGCTGTGCAGAGGTTCAGGGGCTGGTGGTGGGAGGTGCAACCCAGGTAGGGGGGTTCTGTTTTTGCTTCTATCTTTAAATGGTGACCCTAGAATATGCCCACAGGCTTTGATAAAAGTCACTCTCTAATAACTGTACCTCCTGTTCAGATCTCCTGGTTGCTATATGCCGTCTCAGACTTGTTGTTTACTTTGGGGTTTTTATTAAATCATAACTGTGTACATTGATGCATTTAGGGTTCAGTATACTAATTTCATATACAACGTGAAATGCTTACTTTGAACTGATTAACACATCCATCACAATTATACTCTTAATTAATTCTTAGTTTTAATCATAGTAAAATACACATAACCCAAACTTTACCACCTTAACCATCTTCCGTATACATTTAAGCAGCGTGAACTATATGTCCCTTGATGTACAGCCTGTCTCCAGAACTCCTCATCTGGAAAAACTGAAGCTTTGTCCCCATTCAACAACCCCCATCCTCTCTCCCTGGCCCTGGTGGCCAGTGCTTTCTGCTTCTAACCACAGCCTCCCTTTTGTGAGAGGCATCGAGGCAATAATTCTTCTTTATTCTCATGGAAAAACCAAGTCCTCCTTGTGGTGCATTTACAATACCAATTATAAAACATGAAGAAATGATCCACCATAAAGGAGAGTTAACAAGCAAAACTAACAGAAGTTAGAGCTTAGAATTGGAGATAATGGCATAATAGAAAGAGAATAGAAAATTGTGCTGTTTAAAATCATTTCACATAAAAGAAGGAACTGAAGCTGGGCGCAGTGGCTCACACCTGTAATCCCAGTACTTTGGGAAGGCTGGGGCAGGAGGATTAATGAGCTCAGGGATTTCAGACTGGCCGGGACAACCTAGTAAGACCCCATCTCTGGTGTGCACGTGTAGTCCTAGCTACTTGGGAGGTTTAGGTGGGAGGATCCCTTGAGCTCAGTAGTTCAAGGCTGCAGTGAGCTATGATCTCACCACTATACTCTAGCCTGGGTGACAGAGCAAAGCCATGTCTCTAGGGGGAAAAAAAAAAGTGGGATTTGGGAGATTGAAACCAAAAAGCAGTATCTGGAAAAGAACCAAGTAAAACTCTCAGAAGTTGAAAATATAGTCATTGAAACTTATAATACCTGGTAGGCTAAACTGTAGATTAATTACCACTGAAAAATCAAGTAGATATGTAGAAATTCCTAGAATAAAACAAACACATGTAGAGAGATGGACTGTATGAAAGATATAGATCATTATATATTTAGTAGGAATTCCACAGGGAGAAAATAGGAAAGGCGCAGAGATTTAGTGCTCAGAGATGTTTGACAGCAGATAACCCAAGTAAGAAATGAACCTTAATTTTTAAAAACCTCATGAGCATTGTACTGGAGATTATAGTCTGGACAAGAAAAAGAAATAATGTATACGACATGATTTTTCATATAGAAAACCCCAAGGAATACACACACACACACACACACTTAAAGCTAATAGAGTAAGTTCAGCGGAGTCAAAAAACAGGAGAGTCAGTTGTCTTTTTTTTGAGACAGAGTCTCACTTTGTCACTCTCGGTGGAGTGCTGTAGCATCCTAGTTCATAGCAACCTCAAACTCCTAGGCTTAAGTGATTCTCTTGCCTCAGCCTCCTAAGTAGCTGGGACTACAGGCGCCCACCACAACATCCAGCTATTTTTAGAGATGGGGTCTCACTCTGGCTCAGGCTGGTCTCAAACTCCTGAGCTCAAGCAGTCCACTCGCCTCCATCTCCCAGAGTGCTGGGATTACAGATGTGAGCCTCTGTGCCCAGCCTGTCCTTCACCTGTTAATCAGTTTGAGGGGTAGTCAGATACTCTTTCAATTTATATGAGCTCTTTATAACTAAAAGGTTGTTACTAGTTTTCTATCAGTTCTATCTGTGATAAATTTTTCTCACTGTTTCCTTTTACAATTGTAGGTATTCTTTAAAATGTTTTATTGTTAGAACTAATTATACTAAGCACATAACCACATAGTTCAGAAGGTAACAAAACTGAAAATAAATTTGCTTCCTCTTTTCAGTGCAGTTTCCCTCTTTTTAACCACTCCTGTCCCAGAAGTAGAGCTTTTTATATATGTATATTTCTTATCAGCCTTTACCCAGTAGCTATTCACTCCCTGCTAGAAAGATGAGGGATACAGCTCACTTGCCATAGCATCTCCTTCTGCCTTGTGTTTTTTGTTACTCTGTTAATAATTCTCTTAGGAGTCGTATTACTTCTGACTTTAAATAATAAGCATAGACCTGGTGCCGGCCCCATATACCAAGGGTGGCGGGGTCAAGCCCGGCCCTGGTCAAAACTGAAAATAAATAAAAATGGTGGTGCCTGTGGCTCAGTGAGTAGGGCACTAGCCCCATATACTGAGGGTGGAGGGTTTGAACCCAGTGCTGGCCAAACTGTAACAAAAAATAACCGGGCGATGTGGCGGACGCCTGTAGTCCCAGCTGTTCGGGAGGCTGAGGCAAGAGAATCGCCTAAGCCCAGGAGTTGGAGGTTGCTGTGAGCTGTGACGCCACTGCACTCTACTGAGGGTGACAAAGTGAGACTCTGTCTCTAAGAAAAATAGAAAAATAAGCATGGACCTCTCATTCTTGGCCCACCAACTTTATTGACCTTATAACAGCCCCTCCATTGTGTCCTTACATTTGTTTCCATCTCTCACCCCCTCCTTACGCCCCCCACCCCAGTTCTGTAAGTTATTTAGCAACCACCCATGCTGGGAACCAGACACTATTCAAGACACTGTACAAACAGTATCTCCGGAGCTCCTCATTACGACACTGCATGAGCCATTCACTTTGTTTCCCACGTCTTTAGGAAACTGGAGGCTGTAGAATATCATTTGTCCAAGTTCAAGGAAGTAATTGGGTAATTGGCTAGGATTTGAGTTTGGGGGTCTGCCCAGAGGTCATGGTCTCACAATGTTACGCTGCTTCTCAGCTGTGCCACTGTTTTTATTTTGTGAAGGTTGTGACGTGAATTGTGCTTTATAATGACAATTATGTCTTTCATGTTTTAGGGGCTGTCTGAAAAACCAACATTTATAATATCACGATGATCTTTGTAAATATGATTGTTTACAGATCCAAGTGATGGTCTTGCATCCAATGAGAAGGAAATGCAATCTCAAGGGTCACCCAAGACTGCCACTTCAAAGAGACTTTTTCAGCTAAAAGATGAAATGGATTGTTTTTTTCTTGCTCTCTTCAGTTGGTCAAAATCGCATCATAGTTTAGTTTGCTTCATATTTAGACTATACCTTTTCTTGCATAACTCTTACTTTTCTGGAATTTCTGGTGGCCTTCATTTCCTGTTGATAGAACAGCACGTGCCGTCATCCTGTTACTGGGACCTTCCATCATGTACCGTTCAGTATGAGTCCATTTTTTGTGCACATACCTCAGGGCTTTTTGATTCCTTGTTTGTGTTGGAATCCATTGCTTTCTGGACTAGCATGTCCACAGTGCCATGCTAGAGTTTCTTTTATTGTCCTTCTGAATCAAGTCTATGGTTTCTTCATTGCATTTCTTCCTCTTTTTTAGATTCCTTTAAAAAAAAATTTTTTTTTTTGGCTGGGGCTGGGTTTGAACCCACCACCTCCAGCATATGGGGCTGGTGCCCTACTCCTTTGAGCCACAAGCACCACCCTCCTTTAAAAATTTTTTTTTGAGTATTTAGTCAAATAACTTGTTCCTGAGATTATATGGAAGGTAAATCATGAGCCAAGTGAAAGAGTGTTAATGTTTCCCTTAAATTATAATAAGGAAAAATAATCCATTTAATAATTTGGCCGAGGACAGAATTCTAGGTTCAAAATAATTTCCCTTAGAATTCCGAAGGCCTTGCCCTATGCTCGTGTGGCACTCAGAGTTCCTAACCTGAAGTCTAATCAGAATCTTTGTAGGCAGCATTGTTTTTCTTTTTGAAAGTATTAATATTTATTCTTTATCTAGTTCTAAAATCTCACAAACAATGTCTTTCTCTGAAGCTACTTTCTTCTGCTTAGCACATGGTGTATCAGTCTGAAGACTTCAACTCTGGGAAATTTTAAAAATATTCTTTCTTTTCTACAAATTTTTTCTATTCTGTTTTTTTAAATTTCATACTAGATGGAGGTTGCCTTTTGGATTAATCTTCTTACTTTTGATGGATTTTACATTTTAAAAAAATCTATTTGTCTTTTTACTTATATTCCTGTTGTTAAGTTTTTTTTAGGTTCATTTTTAATTTCCAAGAAGTCTTTCTTTTTCTCTTATAATCCCTTCTTCATAAGAACCTGTTTTTATGCTGAATTATCTTTTTTATATCTTAGAGGATATTCAATTGAACCTTTTCCTTTTCTTTTCTTTAAACATTGAACCTTTTCCAGGAGTGTCCAACCTGTGGTTTGTTTGAGGACTGTTTTGTTTATCTGTGGTGTTGATACCATGTATCTTTGGACTATCAGCTTTTGTTAGTGTTTTGTGTACTTAATATGTGGCCCAAGACAATTCTTCTTCCAATGTGTGGCAGAAAACTAAAAAGGTTGGGCACCCCGATCCTTTGTGTTCTTTCTTTCTTTTTTTTTTTGAGACAGAGTCTCAAGCAGTCACCCTCTGTAGAGTACTGTAGTGTCACAGCTCACAGCCACCTCCAACTCTTGGGCTTAAGTGGTTCTCTTGCTCTCAGCCTCCCAAGTAGCTGGGACTACAGGTGCCTGCCACAACACCTGGCTATTTTGTTGTTGTTGTTGTAGTTGTCATTATTGTTTTTAGCTAGCCAAGGCTGGGTTTGAACCCTCCAGCCTTGGTGTATGTCGCTGGTGCCGTAATCACTGAGCTATGGGCATTGCTATCCTTTGTGTTCTTTTTTTATTTTTGAGACAGTCTCACTATGTTACCCTCTGTATAGTGCTGTGGCATCACAGCTCATAGCAACCTCAAACTCTTGGGCTCAAGTGATCCTCTTGCCTCAGCTTCCCAAGTAGCGGGGGCTACGGGCACCCACCACAACACCCAGCTATTTTTTGGTTGCAGTTGTTTACCTGACCTGGGCCGGGTTCGAACCTGCCACCCTCAGTGTATGTGGCTGGCGCTGTAACCACTGTGCTACGGGCACTGAGCCTCCCTTGTGTTCTTGAGTTGTCTGTTCTGTTTCCTCTGAGATTGATTGGCCATCTGTGTGTCTTTTTTTTTTTTTTGAGACAGAGCCTCAAGCTGTCACCCTGGGTAGAGTGCTGTGGCATCACAGCTCACAGCAACCTCCAACTCCTGGGCTCAAGTGAGTCTCTTGCCTCCATCTCCCAAGTAGCTGGGACTACAGGCGCCCACCACAATGCCCAGCTATTTTTTAGTTGTAGGTGTCATTGTTGTTTGGCAGGCCCAGGCTGAATTCAAACCCGCCAGCTGAGGTGTATGTGGCTGGCGCCTTAGCCGTTTGAGCCACAGGTGCCGAGCCTGTATGTCTTGATCTTTTGGGAATGTGTGCTTCAGTTTGCCTTGAACCCCTGGTGATCTTATTAGTCTGTTTATACTTATGAGTCAGTATGTTGATTTATAAAATAAATGGCCACTATGGCTTTCCTATTCTGTTATTTGGAGACTAATCTCCCACAGACCTGTCCCCTGAATGGGAAGGACCCACAGGGACTCAGCGCAATGGTGGTATGCTTCTCTCCAGTGACATCTTCATTGTAAGGTTTACAGGGGAGGAGCAGGCAGCCTGACCTCCTCAACCTTGTCCTGCCCTAACCCCCACGTCCCATGTGTCTCCTAAGTTCCATTTGTCTCTTAAGACGAACACAGAGTGTTTGGCTCACACATACGGCTTTTCTGTGTGCGGTGAGTCTGAGGGAGGCCTGGTGGTGGTGGGTCTGGCTGTCCTGTCTGTGCCTCGGGTGCATCTCCCTGGCTGCCGCTCCTCACTGTGTACACTGTGGCCCTGGGTCTCAAGGCTCCCTGGGTGCCCCTGGGAAGAGGGGGTGTGATCTGCCTCCTGTGTGTTCTGGGCACAGGCGTCCTGTGCTCTCCCGAGGACCACAGTGACACTGCCTGTTCTTCCTCTTCCAGAAGCTGAGCTGCTCTCTCATTCCCAGTGTTGTTGAGAGTTTATTTCCCGTTAAGGGTGTTTGGGAAGGAAGCAAATTAATCATGGGGGCCAGTCATTTATCTTGAACTGGAAGCCAGTTATGTACACTGGGGGCACACAAGTCTTAGAAAGTTTTATATAGTCAAGTCTATTGTGTTTTAAGTTTTTTGTTTTTTTTTTTTGTTTTTTTTTTGAGACAGAACCTCAAGCTATCGCCCTGGGTAGAGTTCCATGGGGGTCACAGCTCACAGCAACTGCTAACTCCTGGGCTTAAGCGATTCTCTTGCCTCAGCCTCCCGAGTAGCTGGGACTATAGGCCGCCGCCAAAACACCCAGCTATGTTTTTGTTTTAGTTGTTGTCATTTGGCAGGCCCAGGCCAGATTTGAACCCACCAGCTCTGGTGTATGTGGCTGGCGCCTTAGTCTCTTGAGCTACAGGTGCAGAGCCATGTTTTAAGTTCTTAATCTTAACAATTTAATATATATTTTTATTAAGTCAATTTAGGTTAGTTTTGAAAACAGTGATCAATTCAAAGGCTGTTGGGAGGATGCTGCTGCTTGTAGGAATGCAAAGTTAAACTGACGTATAGTTGAAGAGCAGACAGGAAAACCCAAACCAAAGTTGTCTGAGGGCAGCACGGCTTTATACAATAGGGGTCAAAGGATGTCCCTGAAAGGTGAAAGACGGCCTGTTTAAGAAGCACAGAAGCTTCATTATCAGAGATTAAAATAAAGCTTTGGCGTTTGCAGGGCCATCGTTCAGTTTCCCGGATAATCAGATGGATGGAGTGTTTCATCTGCCCCACTGTCAATGAGACGTTTGGAGTCAGATTTCATCATTTACAGAGTTCTTACTCTGCCCCAGGCCTTATTCTAAGTGCCATTTTCACTGGGTTCATTTAATTTTTACAAATTATATATTTATATGTTAAATCTTGTTTTCTAGAATGTAGTGAGAGTAAATTAAGTCTTGATAGTGTGTGTACAGACAGTAAAGGCGGCGTTTTGCCCTCACATCCAGGTTCATTATGAGGCCTGCTGGGGTGTATCTGACACAGGGAGTAGTCAGGGCAGCGGTGATCTTTCTTTACTGGAAGAAATCCGGTGTCAGGCAGCTGAGCAGTTTGCAATCACACAGTGAGGGTGTCCTATAGCCAGTTCTAAAACTCACATCCCTGAGTCCGCCGCAAGTTTCCATGTGCCTGGACTCCAGTGTCCTAAGCTCCGATTTTCATTAATGGTCCGATTTTCACTTAGCTCTAATTTTCACTAAAGCTCCGATTTTCATGATTTGTGACCGTGACTTATGCTTGTTAATTCTCAGGTGCCCCTTGGCTTTGGGGTTGCGGCCAGCGTCCGAGTGGGCAATGCTCTGGGGGCAGGGGACGTCGAGCAGGCTCGGTGCTCCTGCACCACTGTCATCCTGTGTGCTGGTGAGTGTGGCAGCTCTGCTCCCCTGTCGCAGTTTCTCTGAGAATGCAGTCACATATGTGCACTCCACTGAAACCTCTGTTCTTTATGCTCTTTCTCATTTACTAAGTTAATTAAGCTTAGTCATGATTCTCTCTTATTATACACATACCAACTAAATAATATTACACTTGGTACTATTGAAATAATTTTTTTTTTTTTGAGATAGAGTCTCACTATCTTGCCCTTGGTAGAGTGCTGGGGCATCACAGCTCACAGCAACCTCAAATTCTTGTGCTCAAGCGATTCTCTTGCCTCAGCCTCCCAAGTAGCTGGGACTACAGTTGCCCACCACAATGCCCGGCTATTTTTTGGTTGCAGCTGTCATCACTCTTTAGCAGGTCAGGGCCGGGCTCAAACCCACCAGCCTTGGTGTATGTGGTGGTGCCCTATTCACTGAGCTATGGGCGCTGAGCCACTACTGGAATAATTTTAAAGGCAATTGTTGTCATCCACAGTCTTATTTTATGACCACAGTCTCAGTGACCTGTACTCTATGCTCCTGGACTTCTGCTACCTCTGGCAGTTCTAGTGTTCTACAATCTGATCAGTTAGAAAAGATCCTGATTGTACTGATACCATATCAACCATCTTTTCTGTAAGTCTCCCTTGAAAAAGAAGTCAGAATCAGCTGACCTTTATCAATCTCAACATAGACAATAAGAAGAAACACCGTTCGCAGGCTGGGCACAGTGGTTCACGTCTGTAGTCCCCGCTTACTTGGGAGACTGAGACAAGAGTTCGAAACTACAGTGACTTTTGATGATACTGCTGCACTCTAGCCTGGGCAACAGAGCAAGACCCTGTCTCTTAAAAATTAAAAAAAGCTGTTTTTGAGCATATATAGTCCTACCAATAAAGGTTTGCACACACAAACGCTTTCTAAAAAAATAATAAATTTATTCACATACTTATAATTAAGCAAGAAATACTATTTACCTTACTACATTTCTCCAATCATTGAGACGAGTATCTCACAAGAAGTCAGCCCTAGGCTTTCCTCTGGAGAACCGTCATTTCCCATCACGTCTTCTGTGTTTCCCAGGAGTCTGTGCACTTGTGCTGGGATTGCTACTCGCAGCTTTGAAGGATGTGGTCGCCTACGTCTTCACCAGTGACAAGTATGTATTCATCTGGGAAAATGCCTTTACTTTTGTACGTGCTTCATCATATTTTTGTGATCTTGAGAGGCAAGTAGCGTTTTACTTCCCAGCAAGACCTGTCGTGCAGCCAGAGTTGAGAAGCACAACACTGAATTTGAATGAATTTTTTCTTTTTTGCAACAGAGTCTCACTATGTTGCCCTTGGTAGAATGCTCTGGTGTCACAGCTCACAGCAACCTCCGACTCTTAGGCTGAAGTGATCCTCTTACCTCAGCCTCCCAAGTAGCTGAGACTATAGGTGCCTGCCACAACACCCAGCTATTTTTGGAGATGGGGTCTCACTCTTGCTCAGGCTGGTCTTGAACTCACGAGCGCAAGATACCCACCCACCTTGGCCTCCCAAGGTGCTGGGATTACAGGCCTAAGCTATACTGCCCAGCCTTATTTTCTTATTTTTTTACCCATCTTTTCATTTTTGGTGCCTAGTTCTTTCAATGACAGCTTTTCCCTCTCCCCTGCAGCTTCTGGCATCTGTACATGTAATGGATACTTTTATATCTCCATTTCCTTCTCTTCTGTCTAAAACTCTGGCACCTTCATCCGTCTTCCCTTCTCACTCCACATCCTCCCAGCATCCTTGGTGAACTCAGTCCAGTCCTCCACTGCCCCAGCCCTTCACTCCAGCCTCCTAGTCCCCACCCGGGTGGTGGTCTTCATCTGACCTCAGGTACAACATACTCCAGGGGAATGCTTTGGGCTTTTTCATCTCCCGCACAACTCTTCCCCCTCCCATCCTTCCAGCTTTTGCAGCTATGTCTGTTTAAGAGTGTTCTTCCGTCAGTTCACAGCCCTGGTCCTGTTCTCTTCCTCACTCCATCCCCACATCCCTGGCTTTACTTCCTTACATAGTTTAGGCCCATCATTTTAGTAACTCTCTGAGCAGTAACGTGAATTCCTTGGACCCTCATAAATATTAAAGCTCCACTCTGGAGGAACCCAGCTGCACATTGTGTGTGCCAATAGCTAATCATTTTTGGAAAAGTCACACAACAGGGAAGGCATGTTGGTTCCACTGGAAACTTACAACCACCAACCACAACTGGACTCTCAGCACTGCTGATGCTGCCTTTCTGGTCATCTCACCATCCATCTCTGCAATCCTAGTAAACCTGCTCTGCCCTTTTCAAGCCACTACACCTTCCCAGCAAATGACCTTGCCTCCTCCGTGAGTTTATTATCTTGCTTGGTGTTTGTTGGGTTTTTTGGATATATAGATTCATGTCTGTCATCAATTTTGGGAAGTTTTCAGCTATTCTTGCTTCAGATATTTTTATAATTTCTAACTCTGCATTGATAGCATCTAGTTGATGAGACTTTATTCTCATACTTTAGTTCTTAAGATAAAGTTTTCTTTAACTCTTTGAACATATTTAAAATAGCCAAATTAAAGTCTTTTTTTGGTAAATCCAATGTCTGGGCTTTCTCAGAGACTATTTTTATTGATTGCTTTTTCCCTTCCTATGTATGAGTTATACCTTCTTTCTTTGCATGATTCATAATTTTTTGCTGAAAACTGGACATTTTGAATACTGTAATGTATGTGCCAGTTCTGGAAATTAGATTCTCCTCCTTTTTCCTGGTTTTTTTTTTTTTTTTTTTTTTTTTTTGCTGTTGCTGCTTATTTGCTTAGTGACTTTTATTGTTTATTAGAGACTAATTCTGCAAAGTTTGTCTTCTTTGTCAAGTGTGGCACTAAGGTCTCTGTTTCATTAGTTTAGTGGTCATAGAGATTTCCTCAAATGCATTGATCTCAGACACCCCCCATTCTTTGCTGAGGGACTCTGCATGTTAGGGAACGTGTCCAACACTCAGTGAGGCAGTTTACAGCTTGCTTTTAACTTTTTGTTTTTGCAGAGCCTTAGGTTCAGCCAGAGGTGAGTGCTGAAGGCCTTCCCGGGTCTTTCTGGAGCATGTCACAGTCCTGTGCATGCATATAGCTTTCTGCATGCTTGGGAATATATCAGAGTTTTTTAAAGCCTCTACAGACATGTCATTCCCCAGGCCTTCCTACTAAGCTTTTTGGTCAGTGTGTTGTTTGCCTCCACTGTTATCTCTTGCAGAAGTTAAAACTTTAGTCTCGCCAGGCTCATCGATATAACCCTAGCACCCTGGGAAGCTGAGGTAGAGGGATTGCTTGAAGTCAGGAGTTCAAGACCAAGAGTCAGGAGTGAGACCCCTTGACCTCATTTCTACTAAAAATAGAAAAATTAGCCAGGGGCTAGGTACAGTGACTCATGGTGTAATCCCAGAACTCTAG